TGTGTCCATTCCCCCCAGCATGTGTTCCATACCCTCTCTCCCTATCCCCTCCATGTGTCCCATTTTCTCCCCCCCAAGACCCTCTCCTCTCCATGTGTCCCATTTCCTCCTCCCAGACCCTCCCCTTCCTATCCGGTACCTGCTCGCCATGGTTCCTGGTCAGACAGGAAGTGTTCTCTCAGTAAGCACTTCCTGTAAGACCATGGTGCTTATCCACACAACGCCAGGAGGGGAGCAGCACAGTAAGGCACTCCCCTCCTGATGGTAACCCAGCAAGCATGGGCCCCCGGCCAGTGCAGCTGTGCACCAGCCCTGAAGGCATGCCGGTGGTCCATGGTTGCAGGGGTGACCTTGCTGCGACTCTTGCGACCATGGTAGGTACGTCACTGCATGCACATCATAATGAAGTTCAGGTAACGGAGGAACCATATAAAAGTTGCTGTTAGTACTTTAATGTACTTACATGCAATGCAGTCTCTTCATACTGATGTAATACAACTGGGGTTTGTATTATGCAATTATTTATATATAAACATTCACGATAAGAGAGTACACAAAAAATTATATATATATTTAAAACGACATAAAAAGCAGCTAAATACAATAGAACCTTCCCCAAGTTCCAAGAAACAACAAATACAAAAAATAATTAGTATCAGCGCTTAGACAATCTTAACCAGAGCCTAACCAATCATTGTTAAGAGGAGTAGTCTCAGAAGATTGGAAATTAGTGAATGTTGTACCCATTCACAAGAAAGGTAGAGGAAAGGAGTCGGGCAACTATAGGCCAGTAAACCTTACTTCAGTAGTGGGGAAAGTAATGGAACCATGTTAAAGGATAGGATTATTGAACATCTAAAAACACATGGATTTCAAGATCAGAGACAACATGGGTTTACTTCAGGGAGATCCTGCCAAACTAATCTTATTGATTTTTTTGATTGGGTAACTAAAATAATAGATCAGGGTGGTGCAGTAGACATTGCTTACCTAGATTTCAGTAAGGCCTTTGACACTGTTGCACATAGAAGCCTCATCAATAAACTGCAATCTTTAAGTTTGGATTACAATATTGTTGAATGGGTTAGGCAGTGGCTAAATGACAGGCAACAGAGGGTTGTAGTCAACGGAGTATATTCAAAGCAAGGTCTTGTTACCAGTGGGGTACCTCAGGGATCTGTACTTGGACCCATTCTCTTTAATATTTTTATTAGTGATATTGCAGAAGGTCTTGATGGTAAGGTATGTCTTTTTGCTGATGATACTAAGATATGTAATAGGGTTGATGTTCCAGGAGGGATAAGCCAAATGGAGAATGATTAAGAAAAATTAGAAAAATGGTCAGAGCTGTGGCAACTGACATTTAATGTAGATAAGTGCAAGATAATGCACCTGGGACATAAAAACCCAAGGGCAGAGTGGAGGATCTTTGATAGAGTCCTAACATCAATATCTGAGGAAAGGGATTTAGGAGTAATTATTTCGATGACTTAAAGGTAGGAAGACAATGTAATAGAGCAGCTGGAAATGCTAGCAGAATGCATGGTTGTATAGGGAGAGGTATTAGCAGTAGAAAGAGGGAAGTGCTCATGCCATTGAACAGAACACTGGTGAGACCTCACTTGGAGTATTGTACGCAGTACTGGAGACCGTATCTTCAGAAGGATATTGATACTTTAGAGAGAGTTCAGAGAAGGGCAACTAAACTGGTTCATGGATTGCAGGATTAAACTTACTAGGAAAGGTTAAAGGAACTTAAAGTGTATAGCTTGGAGGAAAGACGAGACGGGGGGATATGATAGAAACATTTAAATACATGAAGGGAATCAACACAGTAAAGGAGGAGACTATATTTAAAAGAAGAACTACCACAACAAGAGGACATAGGCTTAAATTAGAGGGGCAAAGGTTTAAAAATAATTTCAGGAAGTATTACTTTACTGAGAGGGTAGTGGATGCATGGAATAGCCTTCCAGCTGAAGTGGTAGAGGTTAACAGAGTGAGGGAGTTTAAGCATGCGTGGGATAGGCCAGGACTTTCACAACTGATGTGCCTTTAACCCCTTAGGACCAAACTTCTGGACTTAAGATAAGGCCAGGGACTAATTAAAAGTATTTTGAAATATTGGGCAGACTAACACTATTTTTTTTTTACCTGTAGAGATGAGAAGGTCCAAAGTTTCCCTGCCAGGCCCAGGTATCAAAGCCTTATCATGTGGTGTCCAGAATATAGTGCAGGATTTACTTCACTTGTCCTTTCTGCTCCAATCTCCTTTTATTCTCCTTCATTTGACACAGTCTTCTTTTTCTTCTGACACTGTCTTCTCTCCTCCTTGGCTCCTTCTGCTCCTTTACCTTTCTACTTCTTTTGTGCCCTTCAGCTCCTTTCGCTTTCTGATTCCATACAGACCCTTTCCGCTCAATTTCCTACTTTACCTTTGTGCTCCTTGCTGTCTCTTTCTTGTCCCTTCCTATTCATTTCTGTTCCTTCTCTTATCTGCTCCTTGATGTCACTTCCTACTCATTTCTGTTCCTTATCTTCTCTGCTCCTTCTCATTTCTGTCCCTTCCTGCTCATTTATGTTCCTTCTCCTTTTTGTTCCTTGATGTCCCTTCCTACTCATTTCTGTTCCTTCTCTTCTCTGCTCCTTCTCGTTTCTGCTCCTTCTCCTGCTTTACCTTTGTGCTCCTTCTGTCCCTTCCTGCTCCTTGCTGCCCCGTTCTGCACCTTCTCCATCTTCACTGTTGTGCTCCTTCTGCCCCTTTCTGCTCCTTGCTGTCCATTGCTGTTTCTTTGTGCTCCTTCTGATTTATTCTGCTCCTTCACCTTTGTGCTCCTTCTGTCTTTTCCTGCTCCTGCTGCCCTTTCTGCTCCTTGCAGACCCTTCCTGCTCATTTCTTTTCCTTTCTGCTTGTTCTCCCACTTTACCTATGTGCTCCTTGCTGTTCCTTCTCCTACTTTACCTTTGTGCTCCTTCTGATTCTTTCTGCTCCTTTACCTTTGTGCTCCTTCTGTCCCTTTTTTGCTCCTTGCAGACCATTCCAGCTCCTTGCTGCTCCTTCTCCTACTTTACCTTTGTGCTTCTTATGATTCTTTCTGCTCCTTTACTTTCGTGCTCCTTCTGTCCCTTTCTGCTCCTTGCTGACTCTTTCTGCTCCTTGCAGACCCTTCCTTCTCCTTGCAGATCCTTTCTGTTTCTTGCTGCCCCTTCCTGCTCCTTGCTGACCCTTTATGCTCCTTCTCCTAGTTTACATTTGTGCTCCTTCTGCCCCTTTCAGCTCATTGCTGACCCTTTCTGCTCCTTGATGCACCTTCATGCTTCTTGCTGCCCCTTTCTGCTCCTTGATGTCCCTTCCTGCTCATTTGTTTTCTCCTTTCTGCTCCTTCTCTTCCTTTACCTTCCTGCTCCTTGCTGACCCTTCCTGTAGGCTGTCTTCCCATCCCTGACTTACCTGATCTGTAGGCTGCCACACCATCCCTCACTTACCTGATCTATAGGCTGTACCCCCATCTCTCACTTAGCTGATCTGTAGGCTGCCCCCCATGCCTCACTTACCTGATCCCCTCCCCCCTCCTTTACCTTTGTGCTCCTTCTGTCACTTTCTGCTCCTTGCTGACTCTCTCTGCTCCTTGCAGACCCTTCCTTCTCCTTGCAAACCCTTCCTGCTCCTTGCTGCCCCTTTCTGCTCCTTCTCCTACTTTATGTTTGTGCTCCTACTGCCCCTTCCAGCTCATTGCTGACCCTTTCTGCTCCTTGGTGTCCCTTTCTTCTCATTTATGTTCCTTCTCCTTTCTGCTCCTTCTCCTACTTTACCTTTGTGTTCCCTTTGTCCCTTCCTGCTCCTTCCTGCCATTTCCAGCTCCTTGCTTGATGTCCCTTCCTGCTCATTTCTGTTCTCTCCTTTCTGCTCCTTCTCTTAGTTTACCTTACTGCTCATTTCTGTTCCTTTGTGCTCCTTCTCCTACTTTACCTTTATGCTCCTTGCTGCCTCTTCCAGCTCCTTGCTTGATGTCCCTTCCTGCTCATTTCTGTTCTCTCCTTTCTGCTCCTTCTCTTAGTTTACCTTCCTGCTCTTTGCTGCCCCTTCATGTAGGCTGTCTCCCCCATCCCTCACTTACCTGATCTGTAGGCTGCCACCCTATCCCTCACTTACCTGACCTGTTGGTGGATACCCCTATCTCTAACTTACCTGATCTGTTGGCTGCCCCCATCTCTCACTTAGCTGATCTGTAGGCAACCCCACCCCCATCTCTCACTTACCTGATCTGTAGGCTGCCCCCCATGCCTGTCTGGAAGTTGGAAGTTTCTGGATTTACAATTTAAAAATCTGGTTCCATCTGGATTAAATGCAGAGTTGGAATAAGCTAATATACAATAACAACTATAAAACTATAAAAATAGGATTACGTTTTGATTAGGATATATTTTACTATTTATTTTTTACCTGTCCTTTCTTATTCGCTATTTTTTATTAAATTACGAGTGGGATTCCAGTTGATGTCTTTTTATTTATTTATTTATTTTTTATCTGTGAGTTAGTCCTCTTTTTTTGTGGGGTCTATTTGGTTTCAGTTTGAATTTTTCCTATTGTGGCTTTTTATTTTTTGAGTCTTAGATTGCACTGATCTTATGAATTTACATTATATGTGATTGTTTGAACTATTCATGTTAATGTCGGTAACAGAAGTGGATCTATGCACTAAAGCATATTGGATAAGTGTTGGTAACAATAAGGACCCACTTCTGTTTGTATTTTTAAAAAATACTGCATTGAGAACATGTGACAAGTAAAATGTCATATGTAACTTATATTTCTATGCATTTTATTATTATTATTATTTAAATATGTGAATATGAACTCTTGAAATGCCAGGACTTTTACAACTGATGTGCCTTTAACCCCTTAGGACCAAACTTCTGGAATAAAAGGTAATCATGATATGTCACACATGTCACGTGTCCTTAAGGGGTTAAGAGCACTGATCATTTTCCCCTTGAAATTAGGGTATATATTTGTTGCAGTTCCGCTGCGGCAACCTATCTTGAGAAATCCTGGTCTCACAGGCGAAACACGTCGATCGTTGCTTGGCGGCATTTTCAAGTTTGGCGGCATGGGAGCAAGTACAACGAGATTTCAGGACGGCATCCTTCCGAGGTGTATGAGGTCTGAGTCGGCTCCAGTGCACAGGAGAAGTTCGCAGCATCACACCAGCGGAGTGGTAACCCGCCATAAATCACCACTTTGTACTGCACCATATGCCTGTTTGTGGTCCTTAGAAATAAGTACCACCACTATTTTGTATAAGAGTTCCACAAAGGGATTCCATAGGGGGATTTTATTAATAAAACAGTGTTACACTATATCTGTTTTTTCCTGTTTTAAAAGTGGCTACTTAGTTTCCCTTGGATAGGATACTGGAATCACTAAGTGACAATACAGAACATTGTGCTATCATCATTATAACTCCTATATTTTGGAATATATTCTTTGTTATTATAATTATTGACATTGGGACTCTAACTATTTGATTATTTGATTATTTTAATTGTTATGCTTTTTTTCCCCATAATCACTCTAAGGGGAAGATTGTCTAAGCGCTGATACTAGCTATTTTTTGTAACTATTTTAAATATGCCAACACATTCAGCAGCGTTGTACAATATCTCAAAGCTTGAGGTGAGGAAGACTAGTTTAACCTGGCTAGGAGATGCTTTAAGCATTTTGGCTCTGGGGGATAAGTAGCCCTACCTTGCAGAATATGTTTATTTCCCTTGTGACACTGATTTACTGCCAAGAGTTGCATGTTGCATTCATGCGGAAATGATTTCATAACAACACATTTCTTACCTGGAGGCTTTAGGCTGGTGTTCTCCTGTCTGTTGCTTGTTTCATATATACATATATATATATATATAATGTATCCGGTAGAATGTTATATCCGCTAGGGCCTTTGACAATTTCACTGAAACTGTCCGGGGTCCACCCAGAGTCAGATTAAGGTTGCCAAGGGCCCTAGGAAAAATGACATATTGCCCCTCCCCCCAAAAAACTTTGGGCTTTGTTCTGTGAGTGATGTGTGTATGTGCGGTGGCTGAGTGTTGTATATTTGTGGAAAGACTGAAAGCTGTACTGGGGTGGGGCAGGCTAAGTGTGCCTGTGTGAGCTGGTTGAATGTTGTGTATGTGTAGTTGAGAGTGCCTCCCTTCTGCTTACCTTTCCCTGGTGGGCTGCAGGATACTAGTAAGAAGAACCAGAACCCCCCCCCCCCACCTGTTTAACAGGAGAGAGCCTAGGGTACCTTTAATCCCCATACCCTATGTGAATCAGGGTGTGAAAAAAATAATGGAGCAGGTAGGATTGCATGCTCGCCCACTTCTCCTATAATATATTCTCCCATTCATTTAATAAAATACCATCTGCTGCCTTCCTATGGCTTATTTCCATTGACAAGCAATCTCATTGGCCCATTCTTTTCCTATATGAATACATTATAAGGGGTTTATTCCCTAAACCCTGAATTATAGTGAATTTGCCTCTCAATGGCAGCATCCAGACTAAAATAGTTGATCTGAAAAACTATTCATCTCAACGATTGTCGCAGCTTGACTATTTAGCCTAAGCTGGCCATCCGAGTTTCAATTCGCTGCCATTCAGAGTTTAGTGAATAAACCCCCATGTATCAGTCATTGATAAACTCACTAAAGGTGACGGGGAATTCTTTACAGAAACAGAGAACAATAGCAGTACATGTCACAACATAGAAAACCTGCAAGGAGGAAAGTACGGAATTTCCACTACTTCCTATTGTGCTGATACATGGAATACATCATACACACTCCAGTAAGAAAGTTAATAAAAAGTCAAAAGGTCGAATTCAGGGGCAGATTGCACGGCTGTACAATCCAGCCCTTTTCACACGGGGAATCACAGGGAATATGGAGGCAGTACGGATAGAATACTGTAATACTCCTGTACATGATAACCAGACTAAATCCCTATTCAGCATCCTACTAAAATAAATCTGGCAGGGTTACTTAGTAAACTTCAAATATTTGCAAAATACATTTAGAATGGCAAAATGGAGGCCAAAATAGCCCTGTGGTGACTATAGCGGAGTTGAAGTATTTTTTTCAAATTAGCTATTTTTTTTAAATCTGTTTTGCCATTTGGAATTAATTCATAAAAAAAATCAGTAAATACTTCTGTGAGGGATACTACTGCAGAAAGAATCCATGTATATGCTTATTAAGATATACTTGTCAATATTTCCTGCCCACCATCTGGGATGGAGGCGCTCTTTTGGACTAAGCTCAGGAGACCTCTCCACTGTTAGTAGTGGAGGTGAGGAGTGGCTACCAGTCCAAATGTAAAAAAAAACCACTTTGACCCCTTACAATGGGTGAGCTGTAGTGATCATGGTGCTTAGAGTGTTCTTTTAAGTATTACTTATTAAAGGGTTACTCCCGGCACTATGATTATTTCAGTGACTTGAAGTGGTCATGGTGCCTGGAGTCTGTCGCTATGAAATGCTGCACATATAGAGTTTAACCCCTTTGCTGACGAAGATGTAACTCTACCTTTGGTAGTGTCATTGGGATATTAGCCAGCCCAGAACAAGGGTTTTGGGCTGGTTAATGTCAATTCTGTGCAAATTGTTATGCACAGGATTTTATTTACTGGCTGAGGGTGGTCAGTTGATCATCTCAGCCAATGAATGGCAAATAGTTCGGGTACCTCATTCTGCAGGTCTGAGAGGAGACCAGAAGCCTGGCGAGGACCCAGATAAGGGGGCAAACCGTTAGGTACTCCTAGAAAACCTAGGTTCTACTGACATCATAACCACTACTGTAGAATTGGAATATGTGTGTTGAAAGCTAGCTTGACTACAATCAGTTGCCATTGTGCAGGTGATAGACTTTAATTTTGGACCTTGTCCAAATTGATAGAACCATTAGAAATAAAAGATAGCCATAAGTGTCGGTACGGCAGAAAGAGCCCAAGACTGCACTTCATGCATCTGCAAGCATCTTGTGGCCTTTTACTCAGAGTGTTTTGCTGTCCTGAAACTTATAAACACGTTGCTTTACTGATGTCAATTAATTATAACTAGGCGCTTGGAATTGCTAACATTAACATAAAGTCCTTAGGAAGCCTTCTATGGGGGGGTATAAAGATGTCCTTCCATGAAAAACTGTGCTTTATTCATAGAGGCCCCACAAATTTAATTTAAAATCTAACAACTTCAATCAGTTAACATAATTAATACAACAAGAATTTGCATCTTTAGATAGCGTATGCTTGTGAGGATTGCAATCTGGAGCTGTTAAGAGCTCTGTCTGGGTATATTGATAATGCATTCTGCCGTTTATCTGAGATTAGCAGGCCATCCACATACTGTTTTATCAGCCCTGCGGTCAGGTCACCGCTTAATAAGTTCAAACAGACTTGCTTTATGATATTTTTCATGCTGTGTTTAGATCATGATGTGTGGGTATATATATATAGATATATATATATATATATATACACTGTACACATATACATATGGTTTACAGACATGCAGAATAGGGGCTCAAATCTATCTATCTATCTATCTATCTATCTTTTATCATTTCTGAGCTTTGGATTCTAAGGAGAATAGTCAACACTTCCCTTGAATGTGTGTGCTACAAATGAAATTGAGAAAATAATATTCAAGTCACTAACTCCATAGGATTCACAGCCATAAGGAATCCGCACAGCTGCAGTTGAACAGATGCAACTAAGCACAGCTTTGAGACCTCAGAGGTCTCCATATTAGATTGTGTTTTTCCAGGACTCGTTAAAAGATTTCTATAAATAGGTACCGTGTAAAGCCTTACAGAGCCATAGGAGTAGAAGTTGCTTTGTAATGTGCCACGTGCCCCTCTGGCATTGAAATAGTTAATACTGTAGTTACATGTTAATCAGAGATTTATTAACTCAATACTAATATTCTCATTTAGGTATCACTAATGAACAGCAATTATGACAATGGTGTAAAATAATAATGAAGGCTTACAAGAAAGCAATGCTCAGTCGATATATGTATATAGTCAATTTGTATAAGAAATAAATAATATGAATTTTGTTACTATAGATGTAAGAAATAACTTAGATATAATTTTACATTTGAAAAAAAGGACCATGAATAAATGACATGTTAAAAGATTACAATAACCCTTTTCTCTTTGATGTATAATGTCCTGTTGGGCACTATTGATCTTGTTGACCACCTTAATAAATTTAAAAAAACACATTAAATAGAAAACTTACCATGAATCCAGCACAGAATGAGGTCCTCCTTGCTTTGTTTCCACTCCCTGTCTGTCATGAGGCTACGTCATTCAAGGTTCATTCAAACGTTTCTCATAGAGAAGAATTTGATCAGACCTTTTCACCGATATTATATATAACACTCCTTTCAATGGATTTTCTGGTCTGATTTGAATGACGGCTGTATTTTCATTGACTAAAAACACCTGCCAATCACATTCCAGTTTTGATTTCCAATGGGTCACTTGGATTTTCTTCTTTCTCTATCTGCAGCTTCAACCGAAACTGCGTTCTTGCAGAAATAAAAAATATCTAATAGGCTCAAAAAATGTCTCATATTGTTTACATACGTATTTGAACTTGTTGCACTATACCGTTTCATATTAAAGATAGCTCTCTGCAGTGGTTATGGTGCCTGGAGGGTAAGAAGGCTATCCTTTTGGTTTAGGAAAGGCTTGACATAAGCCAGGACTCTTGCCCGATTTGACATTAAACCCCACTTTTAAGATAATATATATCTATATATATGTATATATAGACAAGGAAGACCCTATATCAGTGGTTCCCAAACTTTTTAGGTTCAAGGCGCCCTTAATATTTCAGTATTTTTACAAGGCACCCCAAGTCAAAATTTCTAGGTTGTATATCTGTACAGCGCTGTGGCATCTACTGGTGCTATAGCGTAATGTACAGTGTTGGTGTTTGAAGGGGTGCTTGTATACATTTATTGTGTTTTAATACAGGGGTATGTTTGTATGTGATGTTTGCATTTGATTGCAGGGGTGTGTCTGAATGTAATGTTCACTTTTAAATGTGGATGTACATTTGTGTGAAGTATTTGTAGATATTTTTTGTTTGAATGCAGGGGTGTGTTTCTATGTAATATTTGTGTTAGATTGCAGGAGTGTG